CCCCGACCCCCACCCTGCTCTCGCCGCCGCCGCCGCCGCCGCCGCCGCCGCCCGCGCGCCCTCCCTCCCTCCCTCCCGGCCCGCCTGCCTGCCTTGCTCGCTCGCTCCCTCCCTCCGCTCGCTGTCGCGCTCCCTCTCTCCGCCTCCTCCGCCGGGTCCCCCCCTCCCACCCCTTCTCTCCGCCTTCCTCCTTCCCTCCCTCCGGCCGCCCGCGGGCCCAGGCCTCCGCCCGCTGCTCGCCCCCCGCGGCCGCGCTGGCCCCGGCCCCGGCGCTGCGGAGCCGGCCCGCGAGGCAGCGCCGACTTGGGGGCCCCGGGGCGCCGCGGCGGGAGCGGCATGGGCGCGCGGCCGGTCCTAGCGCCCTCGGCCCGACTTCCCGGCCCCTACGTCCCTGCTGGGGGTCCCCGCACGCTGCAGGTCGGAGAGCCGGACCCCGCAGTGCCCCGACCCTGCGCAGGGCCCGGGCACCCCGCCTCGGCCATTTCTCCCGGCCACTCCGCCGGGGGCCTGCGGCAGCCCTCACCACCCCCCCGGCCCGACCCTGCGCGGGGCGCCCCGCTACCTGGCGCTGCTTCTGCGCTGGGTCCCCGCATCCAGCACTGGCCTCAGGGACAGCGGCCCCTCCTCTCCCGCGGCCGGTGTCAAGTGCCTCCCCCCCGGCAGCCCGCGGAGCCCCCGGCGGCTTTCGCCCTGCAGTTCTCCCGACCTCCACCAGAGCCCACTGCACTCTGCCTGCCTCAGCACTGGGGCTGGGGACAGCAGCGCCGGCCCATCCGCGTCGCAACCCCCACGCCACCCGCCACCCCCGCCAGGTGCCGCCGCCGAGTAGAGGCCAGTCCATTCAACAGGGCCAAGGTCGGGGCGCCGGGCCTATCCAGGCCGTCTTGGAGGCTCGAGCACCTCTATTGGATGAGCCTCCCTTGAAGGGAGTGAGCTCCCCGTACCTTGAGGTGTCCAAGTAGAGTTGAGTGCCCTCAGTTGGTCAGTGGAAGACTGAAAGATTCCTTGGCTGGGAGGTGGAACTAAATGACATTGAAGATCCCTTCCAGCTCTAAGATTCCGTGCACACACCTACACTCCACCCTCGTGCTTACTCACCCCATTGCTGCGAGGGTTGGTCTCATTTCCCATAGAGTTCCCAGGGCTCCAGGTGTCTGACTTGGGGCATCTCTGTCTACTTACATCAGCACCACCGCTCTCACTCTCCCAACCACCACCGCTAGGCTTGGCCCCCTCACTGCCCTCCCCTCTTCTGCCTGTATCCCCACCAGTCATCTCCCACAGTGTACTCTCATTCCACCCAGTGCTTCATCTTTATTACAGCGCTCTGAGCTCCCTGGCCCAGGATATAGTGTGCCCCCTTCCCCAGGCATCCATCACCTTCTCTGCTGAAACCAGTCCTTCTTTTCCCTCCACCCCCACTAACTTCAGCCCTTCAAGGGTCACAGCAACAGTTACCTAACTCTTTGGGACATAGTCTTCTAATGCTTCCAGGTCCCTCAGTCTGCCAACTCCCCATGCCTCAAGGTCAGATACCACTCCCTACACAGTTTTCAGTGTCCTCCTCATTCAAGGGGTCACCCCATGGCACTGGTGAGAGGTCCTGCTATCCATGGTCTCTACCTGGCCAGTTCCAGAGACTTAAGATGTTCCTTCCATCTTAAGTGGTCTCTGAAGACAGAGACCACCTCTGTCACCTCTGTAGCCCCATACTTGGCACAAGCTTTGGCCGAATGAATATGTGCATTGCAGGGTCCTTGCCACTTTGCTTTCAGCATCAAGGTGGACAATCATAGACATGCTAAAGGTTGGCTAAGGGGAAGACCATGTTTAGAAAGATAGTTGCCATACCTTCTAGTTCCTTAAAGTGTGAAAGTGTTAGTTGTTCACTAGTGTCCAACTCTTTGCGACCCCATGGACTGTAGCTCACCAGGCTCCTCTGTCCATGGAATTCTCCAGGCAAGAAAACGAGTACGTAATCATTCCCTTCTCCAGGGGATCTTCCTGACCCAGGGAACGAACCTGGGGCTCCTGTACTGCAGGCGAATTCTTTACCATCTGAGCCACCAGGGAAACCCTAGGGCTTATATAATAATACTCCAACTAGCAGTGAGGGTTTTCTGAGTGTCTCCTGTGTGCCAGGCACCAGGTTGGCACTTTTCCCCTAGTCCGTAGCAACGCTGTGTGGTAGTGTGTGTCATCCCCATTCTGCAGATGAAGAAACTGAGGCTCAGTCAAAGCCACAGAGCTGGGAAGCGGCAGAGCCAGGATCCAAAGCATGGCCTGTCTGACTCTGAAATTGTGATGGTTCCCTTAAAACCTTACAGTTATTCTCAATAAACTGACACTCTCAGGGTCAAGTGGGCAGTTCTGTCTCTCTTCAGTAGGGAATTCCTTGGCTTGTTCCGTGGTTAGGACTCAGCACTTTCATTGCCACGGCCTGGGTTCAGTCTCTGTTCGGGGTACTAAGACCCTGCAAGCCACGTGGCTCAGCCAAAAAAGAAAAAAAAAAAAAGCAGCTTTCTATTCAGTAGAATTATCTGTGATGAACTCATTGGGAGCCTGGATAAGTGTGACCCTGGATGTCTGTGAAGCTGATGTCAAAAGGCCCAAGGTGACCATGTTAGGGGGTTTGCTTATGTGCAGTAAGAAGCAAACGTGTGGCTGCAGGGTTGGTTCTGGCGCCTGGTCCTGATGTCTTTGGCATGAGGAAGGCCCTCCAGGCTGTGCCAAGAAGAGACACATCAGTGCTGGCTAACCGTACTGGGCCTTCCTCACCATACATCACACGGGGTCCAGCTCAGATTGATTTAGCCTTCAGGCTCCTACAGCCATCAGTTGTGTGTGCTCCACTGTGGCCCAGCCAGTATCCCGGTCAACCCTAGATCATCTGGGGTGAGGGGCAGTTATCAGTCACCTGCAGTAACAAACAAGTGACAAAATCCTGCCTGACAAAAGGATTAAGCAGTTAAGAGTTTAGATAGCCAGGAAGACCAGGGAACGGGTCAATCCAGGGACTCAAATACCAGCTCCAGAGCTGATTCTCTCACCTTCACTCTTGTCTTCTTCCCGCTTTGGGCACTTTTCTGTGCTTTAAACAAACTAAAGGTGGTAGGCAGCTGTCTCATGTCCCTACTCTCCCAACTTAGAGAATCCCAGTGGAAGAACATAATTTCCTTTCCTTCAGGAAACCCCCTAATGCTTCCAGGGCAGGAGGTTCCTTGTCTTTTATTTTATTTATTTATTTATGTATTTACTTTTGGCCACAACACACAGAATCTTCCCTGACCAGGGATCAAACCCGTGCCCCCTGCACTGGAAGTGCAGTCTTAACTACTGGACCACCAGGGAAGGTCCTCCATGTCTTTAATAACACTCTCCCAATAAAAAATAAATTAATAATAAAAAAAACACCCTCCAAACCCCTGAGCCTCAAATATGAGACACAATTGTCCTGTTTTGTATTTCAGTGGCACCCTTGCTGTCAGCGCCATCCCTAGCAGAGATGTCCTGAGGGTTACTTCAGTTGTTCTGACTTTGGTCAAAGCCCACTCTGAACATGTCCTACCACCTGGGGGTGGCGTGGATCACATATCCATCCCCTTAAGTGAGTTCAGGAGGTTTGGAGACTGACAGACCCAACAGCACCCTGTGGAGAAGGGGCAGAGCTGTTGTCCAAAGCAAGGGTGCTGGGCAGACACACTGCACTTCACCCAGTGGCCGCCCAGCATCTATGTACACTGTCTTTTCCCCATACAACCATCAAAAATGTTCTTGCTGAGACTTCCCTGGTGGGCAGTGGCTAAGACTCCGTGCTCCCAATGCAGGGAGCTTGTGTTCAATCCCTGGTCAGGGAACTAGATCCCACATGTAGCAACTAAGAGTTCAAATGGCACAACTAAAGATTCTGCATGCCCTAGCGAAAATTAAAGATTTCACGTACCGCAACTAAGACACAGCACAGCCAAATAAATATTTTTTTTTAATGCTCTTGCTGCTTGGTAGAGGTGGTGGCTGCACAATATTGTGAATGTACTAAATGCCCCTGAACTGTACATTTTCCAAAGTTTAATTTAATATTATATGAATTTCACCTCAATAAAAAGATACTTTTAAATGCTCCTACTAAAATAAAGAACCCTCACCACCTACAACTAAAAATCCACTTACTCTCCTTCCCAAAGGAGAATAAAGAGGATCCAGGTAAGTTGCATTCCTCTCAATGGTCTACACGTGGCTTCTCATTATCTGTAACAGTGGCTACATTATAAATTTAACCACCCTCAAAACACCAAGCCTATGATGGTGGAGATAAAATAGATTATTCTCAATGAAGACTGACTTTGGAAGAGAGGGGAAGGGAAAAAGCACACAGGGGCCCACCCTGCCAGAGGGCCAGCCAGGACTCACTTCTTCTAAGGGAGCTTAGTCCTCGTCTGGAGGCTTATTGTCTTCAATGGCTGAGCCTGAGGGCCTGCAGGGAAGAAGTCCCCTTTGCGGAAGGCCAGCTGCCTATTGGCATGGTCGTGGCTTCCTGGGGATTCCTTCAGAGGCTGGGCAATCCCTAGGTCTGAGGACTGCAGAATCACTTCCTTAAAACCTCAACTGGCTGCCAGTCAGCTCATTTCCTAGGAACTCCATGGACTGACTAGTAACTCGCCCCCTGCAATCCCAAAGCTGATGAGTGGACTCCAGTGCATGGCCACCACAGAGGTTGTGAGCATTACAACAAAGAGGGAAATAAAAGTGCTTTGTAACCCATAAATGAGGTCATTATCCTAATTCACCAAGAAAATCATAAAGACACAGATTCGTTCTGTACAGTTTTACGTGTGCTAGTACACAGTGCTTTTATTCAGTTCTTTTTACCTTCTTACTGGATTTCCCACAGCAATTGTCATCCACTTCCCTCCCCTATTTCTAGATGCTGATTCAGCCTTTTCCTCCAGAAAACACCTTAGCCTCTGCCTCTCACTCCACTCTGAGCCTCACTTCTGTATATTGATAGAACCAGAGATAAATGGAGATGTAAAATGTGTGTGTGTATATTTACATCTTGTGTATATACATACATTCCCCTCTTCTGTCCACTGAGAGCATGTACAAGCAATGAAACCTCAACAGGGATGAGGATACCTCATGCCCAGATCTTGGTTTCTAAATACCATTCTTTACCAAAAGGAACTGGACTTTCTTTGGAGAAATGGCAGCTTCCAGAGCTGGGTCAAGCAAAGAACAAGATGAGCCCAGAACATGTTATACTTTAAAGTTAAAGAAGAATTCAAAGAAGGATAGGGTACAGAAAGGGCTTTTACTGGGAAAATAAGGGAAAGTTTGAGCACTGAAATAATGATACCAACAGATCATAAATCCACTGCATAAAATAGGAATCCATGAGTCCACAGTGCTAGAAATAAATAAACGAACAAATTGCAAGTTTAGTGGGGAATGGGATATTTACACAGCCTCAAAGTACTTCCCAGCAAGATACTTACTAATTACAAAGAGGAAAAGAATAACTTTACAATGAAAAAGCCCTTTAATCAAGTGATCAAAGTTAACTTCATCAGTAGTGGACCAAATTGAAATGATACACCACCTAACAGGATGCAGTGAGAACGACACAGCATCATTTCTGTCTTACATACTCCAGCCAAAGATGCATCACCTGAATCTAATCTCAAGGAGACGTCAGACAAACCTCCTGGCCCATTTGGGTTGCTGTAACAAAGTACTATAGACTGGGTGGTTTATAAACAATGAATAGTTATATCTCACAGTAGGGGCTGGAAAGTTCAAGATGAAGATGCCAGTAGATTTGATGATTGGTGATGCTTCCTTCTGCATAGAGAGCCATCTTTTCTCTGTGTCCCCACATGGTGGTAGGTACAAGCTAGCTTTCTGGGGTCTCTCTTATAAGAGCA